ACTTTGGTTCTAGTGTCCATAACAATTTCACAGATGTTTTTTAACAGATGAAAAGGTTCCCTTTCTATTCCTAGTTTGCTGTGTGATATGGACTGAATGTCTGTGTCACCCCAAAATCCCCAAGTTGAAATGGTAATCTTCAATGTACTGGTAATTGGAGGTGGAGCCTTTGAGAGATTAAGTTCAGACAATTTATGAGCGTGGACCCCGTGAGGGGATATGTGCCTAGAATAGGAAGAGACCAGATATCTCCCTTTCCCTCTTTGCCATATGAGGAAACAATGAGAAGGTAGCCATCTGCAAGGCAGGAAAGAAGTCCTCACTCAGAACTGAATCTGCACCTTGATCTTAGACTTCCCAGCCTCAGAGCTATAAGAAATAAATACCAGTTCTTAAGCCACTCAGTCTATGGTATTTGTTAGACCAGCGTGAGCTAAGATCTGAGCATTACCATGAAAATGTTCTGTTTTCAGAAACACTGTTTTTTAGCATTTACTGAGATGATCTGATTTTCTCCCCTACTTTAGTTTCTTAATATGGTGAATTACATTTTTTGATTTTCAAGTTAGCTAATCTTACATTTCTGGGATAAATCCCACTTGTTGGATTCTATTTAGTAATATTTTGCTGGGGATAGTTACATTTCTTCACTGGGGACACTGGTTCAGAATTGTCTTATAGTACCCGTATCAGATTTTGATATCAGGGATAGGCTAGTCTCATAAAATTAGTTAGGAACTATTGCCTCCTCCTCTATTTTCAGAAAGATCTTGCATAAAACTAAAATTACTTCTCCTTTAAATGTCTGGTAGAATTCAGGGGGCTAGTAGATGAAGTAACGGTTACGTCTCTGGACTCCCACATGGCCAACAGCAGTTCCAGTCCTAAACCCAGTGGCTTGACACTCACACTGGGTGTGTGTACATCCATGCCCAAATCCTGAGAGGAGAAGGGACTGCAGTATGGCCATCCTCCCAGGGGAGTGATTTCTTGCTTTCTGTCTCTGTCTTTCTTTGCCTCTCTGGTGAGTGCACATGCCCTATAGCAAAAGTCTCTCTCTAAAAAAAAGTAAATAATAATAATTCACTACAGAGGTTATATGGGCCTAAAATATTATTCGTGGGAAAGCTTTTTTTGTTTTTCTTTTTATGAGACAGAAAGGTATTTCTAATAGGGTCTTGCCATTTCATGATCCTCCTGCCCTAAACTTCTAATTAGTGAGGATGGGCCATCGTTCCTGGCCCATTTGTGACAGACTAGGAACCAAACCTGGGCCTCCCATGTGACTTTTGCATCCTCCCACTTGTGCCAGCATGGTTAGGCTAGGAAACCTTTTTTAAAATAAATTATTATTATTTCATATCAGAATATTTGAATTTTCTATTTCTTCTTTGTATCAATTTAAATAATACGTGTTTTCAAAAAAGGTGCTAAGTGTCGAATTTATTGGCATAAAATTACTCTTTTCTCCTTCTCATCGTTTTTCTCCCCTTCAGTTTTTGCCATAGGGCACATATACTCAGGAGAGAGAGAGAGAGAAAGAAAGTGAGAAATCACCTCTCACAGGAGCTGGCCATGCCACAATCCCTTCTACTCCACCCTCCTCTTAGAATTTTGGGCATGTGCACACACACATCCCCCAGTGTAATCCTCAAACTACCAGGTCTAGGACTCGAACCACAAAGCTGGCTATATAGAAGCTAGCACCTTAACTTCCATGCCACCTGCTGCGACCTTCTTATCCTTTTAATGTCTGTCGCATCTATAATAACATCTCCTAATATTGGTAATTTTTCTCTTTTCTCCTGATCAGTCTTACTAGAGATTTATCAAATTAATGAATATTTTTGAAAAGTCAATTTTGTCACTGTTATTTTGTTTTACAGTTCATTGATTTTTACCTTTATTTTTATTATTTTTTTCTATTTATTTCTTCTTGCTTAATTTGCTCTTCTTCTACGTCATAAGCAGGAAAATTCAATCAGTGCTTTTACATGTTATTATTGTTTCTAATATTAACAATAAAACTGTAACTTTCCCCCAGGAACTGCTTTTGCTGCATCCTCCTTTTTATTTTTGACTGTTTTCAGATATTTTAACTATAAGGTGATTGCACTCACCAGAGACAGAGATGGGCGGAGGGGGGGGGGATGGGAAAACACCCACGAACGGGGGATTGGTCATGCCACAACCTTTCTCCTCTGTTTTTCTCTGGGGATTTTGGGCACACGCACATATGTGCCTGGCATGCTGTTCATGCTGCCAGGTCTGGGACTCTAACCATGGAGTTGGCCAAGTAGAATGCAGCACATCAACCACAATGCCACCTGCCACATTCTCCATGTTTTAATATGTCTGTTTTTTTTTTTCTTTTTACTGAGGCTCTGTTAAAAAATATTTTCTAATTTTCTCTGTGATTCCTTTTTCCACCCATGGGTTGTTTAAAAATATATTGTTCAATTTCCAAGTATTTAGGGGTTTATTAGGCATCTTGTTATTACTAGTTTAATTCTACTGCAATCAAGAAATATATTCTACACGGTTTTAATTCTTTAAATATTTACTGAGCTTTGCTTTATGGCCCAGTAAATGTTTTCTCTTGACGAATGTTCCATAAATACATGAAAAGAATGTACGACCTAGAGTTGTCATTTTTGTTCTATAAATTAATGGAAGGAAATGTTAAAATCACCAACTATGGCTGTTTATTTATCTATTTCTTAGGTTAGTCTGTTAACAACTGAGAAATCTGGGTAAAGGTTCTATTTGAATTCTTTGACTATTCTCGTACCTCTCTTAAAACTAATAATCTCTAACAGAAGTAAGCTTAATGTCTAAGTCTATTATGGTCTAACAGTAATAATCCAGTATTTTTCCAACACTGATTCTAGTAACATATTACTTAATATTTTTCAGAAGGGGAAACAGTAGTTTAAATGGTTTGGCATTTTGTAGGGGCTGGCAGGTAGTATGGTGGTTAAAGGCGCTGGACTCCCACATGGCCAACTGCAGTTTGAGTCAGGGCCCTGGTAGCTTGCTTTTTCATTCTCCCACTATCTCTCTCTTTTTCTGGTCAAATTAAATAATAGTAATAATAATAATGATAATAAAGAATAAAGTTAAATAAAATAATTCTTTTTTAAAAAAGACAATTTTGTCAAAATCCTCAAGAAAGTCACTGTTAGTTCATGAACTGTCATTCAAATGATTTTTAAATCTCTTAGCTCCATGATTTACTTTCCCAAGTTGGAAACAGGAACTGATTGGTTTTTGTTTTTTCCACCCTCACCCTATGTGTCCTCTCTTTATGCTGATGTATACATACAAATTTCTAATCTTATGCATGAGTAGTATGCTTATTGGTTGTTTTTCCCATAAACGTTGGGTTGTGGGAAAAAGCATGATGTATTTTTTTTCTATGCAAAAATGTATCCCATTTGAGAATTTAATTTGAGTTTCCGTGAACTTTTTTCTTAAAGAGTTACTTATTTAATTTGATTTATTCATTCATTTATTTTAATTTGACCAGAGAAAGACACGGACAGAGAAAGTGAGAAAGCAAGCCACCAGGTCCAGGACACAAACCGTGGCCAGCTATGTAGGAGTGTCCAGTGCCTTAACCACCACGCCACCTGCTGGTCCCCAAGTTTCCATAAACTCATTTTGTTCTTTTTAGAGGATTTTTTTTTTATTTTTTGCTATATGGCACATGCATTTGCCAGAAAGACAGAGAGAGACAGAGACAGAAAGCAAGAAATTACCCCTCAGGGGAGGATGGTCATGCCGCAATCCCTTCTCCTCCATTCTCCTCTCGGGATTTTAGGCACACACACACACACACCGGGTGTGAGTTTAAGCCACCAGGTCCAGGACTTGAACTATGATCGGCTACATGGGAGTCCAGTGACATAGTCATTACACCAACTGCTGGTCCCTCTGTGAACTCTTAACTCAAGGACTTAAGACTGGGATTTTAAATAAGCACAGCTCAATCACCAAGGGTCACAGAGGAAGAATACTAATAGCCACAAGGAACAAAGAAACGCAAAAGTTACGTGCCATGGCAGTGGTCATACGTACCTGAAGAATCGGCTTTTTTCTGTGTCCATAGAATGACATTCTCGCTTGCTGCTACAAACCTCTGCGGTCTTCACTACATTGGTCCAATGAATAGGAGCCTTACAGAAAAATACACCCAATCCTTTGGGCCGGGCCTGTAGCCGCCAAGAAGTGAGGTGTAAGGGCACAGCAAATGAATCCCCTGGCATGATCGCGGGAAGGACCACTGGCTCTGCCAGAAAAATAAGTGTTAGCACATTCAGGCAATGGCTCTCCACCACAAAGACAGACAATTCAGGACAAAAGCAAGACACGCCATATATACTGACTGCCTAGAAAGATACCCACTAAAGTGGCATGACGAGAGCCAGGGAGTATTTATCGAGCATGTGCTATACTCTAGATAACCAGAACGTACTGTCTGGAGCAGATGGGCTGTCCAGTCTCAGTTCCATTGGTGTCTCGAGTCTGTTCCTCACAATGAGGGCTGATCTGACGGTGATTACTTTCCGAGCACTGCCTTCCATAGTCACTGCAAAGACCACTCGGACAGGAGGGAGTGAAGAAAACTGTGAAAGAGAGAGAGTAGAATAGTGGTGCTTCTGAAAATACAACAAAATACAGCAACACCAACCAGAATGCTTAAATAAAAAGCATCTTTATATTACTACAGCACTTGAGTGAAATTGGTCTTTTTTTTTTTTTTTTTAATTTGCTAGAAGCCATGTGTACTCACCAGAGAGAGACATATGGAGAAAGAGAGAGAGAATGGGGGCGGGGGAGTACTTCCCCTTGGGGAATGACCAGACCATAATCCATTCTTCTCCATTTCTACTTTTGAGATTTTTCAACACACACACATATGCACCCAGTGTGTTTTTGAAGTTCTGGGCCCGGAACTTTAACCATGCAGTCAGCCATGTGAAATCAAGCTGCCTTAACCACCACACCACTGGCTTGCCCCAAATTAGTCACTAAACACTGTTTGAAACCATTTTGCTTTAAAGGAAGTAAACATCTTGTAAATATATACTGACTAAAAACAGTCAGTTCTAAAAATTTCTATAAAAATAACCTACGCAGATATGACACCACACAGACTGTCACAGAGAAGAATCAGTCCTAGGCCTCTAGACACATTATAAAGAACTTTACCTAATATTGTGTAACAACCTATGCAATTTTCCAAACTTCCTGCAATTTGGTAAGGAAGTCATCTACTGGAAGTTATCCTTCATTCACAATGCACTTGGGTTCCTACACATCAGACCTTATATGGAAACTGTGGACAAGACTTGTTTTCAGCTCTACTGGAGGGGAATAAAATAAAGATCCAAAGCAACTAAAATTAGAAACACTGAGGCAGGACTTTGCAAGACAGTAAATGATTTACCTTCTCTAGTATTTGCCTTCCAGATTAATATTAAATTGAGAAAACAGTCCTTGAAAACTAACAATGGGTTGGACATTGCCCACATACAAACAGAAAAAAAGAAGGAAGTCTTCTGAGATTAAAATTTGTCTTTGTAAAACTCAGAGTGTATAAGAAAGAGTCATCTGTATTAGTATGCTTTTCACAGAAAAAAAGAAAAACTTTTGTTTTTAATGGTATAAAATTTACTCTAGGGACCAGCAGTTGGCATAATGGTTTCATCACTGGACTCCCATGTAGTCAACCGCAGTTCAAGTCCTGGACCTGGTGGCTTAAACTGATGCCAGGCACATGTGCGTGCATGCCCAAGATTCCAAAAGGAGAATGAAGGAGAAGGGATTGTGGGGTGGCCACCCCCCTTGGGGGATGATTCCTCTCTTTCTGTCTCTCTGTCTCTGTGTTTCTGGTGAGCGCAGACGCCCTATAGCAAAAACCTCTCAAAAAAAAAAAAAATTACTCTGAAGGCCCATACACTATTCATTGACTTGCCTATAGAAAAAATTTCAAAGAACTTTAAAAACAAACTTATCTTTCTTTCCAACAGAAAGAAAAGGAATAGTTTCTACGTAACAGTCACTGTTCCATAAACAGGACCCTGAGGTACAGAAAAGCAACACCACGGAGAGAAATCCTTCATTTCCAGTCTTGAGTTGCAGCACCACTTTATTTTTCCATATGTCCACTCGCACATTCAGTACACGTCCTGCGCTACTACCATGTGACTAGAAAATGTTTTCAAGTATAAAATTCCACGTTAAATACACTAAAGATAAATTTTAGAAATTATTACTCTTCAAATAAGTGTCCAGAATATACTGAGCAATGCTTTTTTACCTGGAGGAACAAATGCCACTAGGTTCAGGTTTTCTTTGTGCCAACTTTCTTTCCTTTTTAGTTATTTACTTTATTTTATTTGTTTATTATTCTTCAATTTGACCAGAGAGAGACAGAGAAAGAGAGAGAGGGAAAGTGAGAAAGCAAGCTGCCAGGTCCAGGACTTGAACCTTGGTCAGCCATTTGGGAATCCGGCACTTTAATGGACATGCCACCTGCCAGCTCCACTAACATTCTAAACCAAACATGAAAATCATACCAAGAGCTCCATGTTCAGGAAGTCCAAATAAAAAGGCAAGTTCTAATTTTCTGGGGCTTTTAGAAGGACACAATTTTAGCCATACATCATTATCAGACCTTTGGCTCCTACTGACCCATCTCCAACAAAGCACCAAGAGAATAAAGGACAATAAGAATTATTTGAAATCTTGCTAATGCTGCCTCTGGGCCTAACTGAAGTTTTACATCTCAAAACTTAAGATTCTCAGGGATAAGAAATTATTTAAAAAAAAAAAATTCTGAAAACTTTCTGTTGTTTTGATACAGGGTGTGTGTGCGTGCCAAAGAGGGACAGACAAAGAGGAAAAGTGAGATACTCCCCTCCCCCACAGGGATGGCTACCCCCCAATCTCTTCTCCTCCATTCTCTCAGGATTTTGAGCATGTACTCAGTGCATTTTTCAAGCCACAGTCCGAATCTGAACCATGCAGGCAGCCTGCAGAACCTAGTGTGATAGCGACCTCACCACCTGCCAGCCCAGCTCTTCCTTCCTTACACTATGCAATCTCACACACTAAGTTAGGGGGCACATTTTCTTGCATGATTTTAGAAAAAGGAGGTAGCTGTGAAAGTTAAAAAGGGAGAGATAAATTCCAATCGCCTATATGTTATTAAGTCATCTGATTGTCAAGAAATATCCAACTATGTATAGTTCAGGCACAATGTATATACTAAATAAACACAATGACAACAGGAAAATCATACTTACATAAACCTGGGGATGTATAATATTTGTTCTGCTGCTGGGGCTGCCAATCTGAGAAAGATTCCGAAAGTTAGAGTCAGCAAAGGCCTAGGATATTGGGAATCATTAAATTCAAGGACAATGTATTAAGTCATAGGGAAAGTCATGGCATATTTTTATGCAAAAATGCATCATGACTTTCCCAACAACCCAATAATCTGCTTAGAAGAGCAGTCTTACTACAAAGATAAAACATCTTTTCTTGGAAGATACGTGGAACAAATATTCATTCTGTATACTCATTCAGCGTATGCAAAATTACTCCAGAACGTTATCAATATAACAGAGAGATACCTGTGAAGGGAATTACTCTTTTCAGTACCAAACATGATTTTAGGCAGAAAGCAACCTTAAAATACATGTCCACCTCCTCCTCGAAGAACCTCGGGGCAACAGAGCAACAGAGAAAATGTATGCCTGTGGAACAGTTCTCTCCAAGACCATTTCTCATGGAGGAAGCAAACAGGAGGACACCTGCACTAGCTCTGCAGATCTGCATTCTCCTCCTCATCACTGGGGGTCACTTCCCAGCCCAGTGTGTGAGACTACGCTATAAAGATGGATGCCTGTTGGGCAAGGACAGCAGGGCACCCACTTCAGCTAGGACGCCAGCTTCTACCTGTACCATTCCCAAGGCAGCCCTCTGACCCCCAGGGCTATAGATGAGGGTAAAATTAGGGCAAGGACATATCAGAGCTTGTGTGATGAGAAAATAAATGACAATGGTCATCTCTGTGTCACACAGAAGGATTTAGAGACAGAGAGCTAGAAGGATCAAAGAGGAGCACTATAAGAAATGTAAAAAAGTGGACCGCAGTTAGTGTAATGGCTATGTCGCTGGACTCCCACATAGTCGACCGCGGTCCGTGTCCCAGACCTGGTGACTTAAAACTCACGCCGGGCGCATGTGCCTGCGTGCCCAAGATCCCAAGAGGAGAATGGAGGAGAAGGGATTGTGGCGTGGCCATTCCTCCTGGGGAGTGATTTCTCGCTTTCTGTCTGATTTCTCTGTCTTTCTCTGTCTGTCTGGCGAGCGCACACGCCCTATAGCAAAAACCTTTAAAAAAAAAAAGAAAAAAGAAATGTAAAACAGGTAGCATATGGGTTAGCTCCAAGGCGCAGTGCTAATGTGCTGCTCAGGAGACGCTGGGTCCCACGTGGCAACAATGGTCCAAGTCCCTGGCCTGATCAGCCCGAGACAAGTGAGGATGGATGTGCACTGATAATAACAGGATGGAGGACTACAGTAAGGGGACTATGGCACAACCAGAGCCTGTGGAGGGTGCTCTACTCCCTCTCTCTCAAATGTCTCAAATGTGTGGACATTCACTCTTACCATGAAGAAAGAAAAAAGAACAAAAAAGGGGAGTGGAGGGGGGGATCTTGTAGCACCACATGGTCAACCATGGTTCAAATCCCAGCTCTGGAGGCTTGAAAAACATGCTGGTGTGTGTGCATGCATGCTCCAAATCCTGACCAGATGGAGAAATGGAAGAAAAAGGATTGTGATGGGAACCATGCCCCACTGGGGGTGGGGGACACTTCCTCTTTCTCTCTCTCTCTCTCTCCCTCTGGTGATCACGCACATCCACTGGCAATAAAAATAAAATAAAATTTAAAAAAACTGAACAAAACAGGAAGTACGTAAATGAATCAGAACAATATGTGAATTAAAGCCAATGCTCATGTTTGGTAGACCAGTAAACTGCCAGGCAGGCCTGCTAAGGATGAAATGGATCTACACAGGCAAAGTCAAATGTTTCTGTCCATTCCAAATCTTATTTTTCTACTGAAATTAACCCTTGTCTGGCTTATCTATATTGATTACGAATGCAAAATCTTAAGGCTTCTTCCTAGAATGAGGGGACAGAAAGAACAAGAAAATTTGACTAGAGCAAGGTTATTACAGGTTTAACCATCTGACTGCCTGGTTGTCAAGGGCAGTGTAGAATCCAGCACCTTAACCACACACAGCCGAGTCACTGAACACACACCGTAGAGGAAGATGAATTTTTATCTGGAGCTGCATATCGGAAAAAGATCCCGACTTTGTCCACAGACACTGGGCTCACTTGTTCCCAGCCATTTACTCTCACTTGCAGTTGATGAATCCGGAGGTCATGGGTGTGTCTATCAGGCAGAACACAGAAAAAAAGATATTAAGCACAACCTCAAGAAGGAAAGAAACTAGAAGCAAAGACTCAAATCTGATTTACAATATAATGACATAAAAACCCCACTAGCTAAACCTTGTGGGGATTACCTAATGCAAGGAAAATCAAGAGAGCAATTTAACCAGTTTTATGCTTACAATACAAATTGTAAGATCTGAAAAGCCTGAACAAGAGTAGCACTTACTCTGCAATGTACAAGCCATGCAAATCCTGAACACCAGCCCAGGTCTTTCCACCACCAACCCCGTCCCAACCTTTATAAAGTAATGACATCAGTAAAAACCATATCAATAGGGCAGTAAAAATATACTAGCAAATTACTTGCATAACCGTACACTTAGAAATGCACAAAAACAACTTTCTCCTCCGCTCTTTTGTTGACTATTTTATTTCTCTCACAACCACATTCGGTAGTTTGGCTTCAGCCCTACATGACTACAGTTGGGTTATTCGAGACACAGCCCTCAGAGTTTTAGGGCTAAAGTGCTTGGCTGAAATTGGAGCAGAAGGCAGTGGGCAGAACAGGAGGAACAGGAGGAAATTGCACATTTAATTCTATTTTAGATTTTGCCTAATTCAAGCCAGAAGCCTGAAATGGGGAACTAGATTTGAGGCTGACAGGAAGGGGGGGAGGGAGGCAAGAGTAGGGTACAGCATGCCAAAGGGGAGAAAGCCAGAAAAGGCATTTATTTTGACGAATTCAGGCAGAACAGTGGGACTTGAAATGAGTTACAAAACATGGAAACTAACGGAAATGACAATGAGGTCAACCCTTCTGATACAACAGAGGCAGTGCCTATTAAGAAATACTGTACCGCCAGCATATCTATAGTTAGCTCTTCTGAGAACTACGTGGAAGGGACAGGAAAATGCTCACCAGGCATCGCTGCAGACTCTAAAGTGGCTTCCAGATACATCTGCCCAGCATAGTGACTTTTCAAAAAAAAACTTGTTTTTTCTGTAAAAACCCTGGAGACCCACATGTTCAAAACTGTTTCCCCCACTCTGCCCCTACTCAGAAGTAACATATGTGGGTACAAAGACATGTCAAAGGAAAAATGCTTGACTCAGGAGGAGCACATTTCAGATACAACGCACCCTGAAAAGCATATGACTATAGAAAGCTAAAGCCACACTCTAATTTCAGCTCAGAGTAAAAACAAACAGGCCTAAATACTAAAATCTAAATCTATTAAAATCCTAAGTCTTATCCTATTGCTAGCCAGTGGATAGTCCTTCTATTTAAAAATGCTTGGAAATAATGAGACACTTTATTAGGTATCTTATGACCTCAACCAGATAAAATCTTTTTTCACATGTATTCCAATCCTCTGGCTGGATATGTAAGTGTATCTATGGGGCCAAGTGTATCTGTGGTGGTAAAAGCACTAGACTCCCACATGACCAACCACAGTTCGAGTCCTGGACCTGGTTGCTTGCCTTCTCTCTCTCTCTCTGGTGACCATGTGTGCACTATGGCAAATTAAATAATAATAATAGTAATAAATAAATAATATAAATAAGTCTTTTTTTAAAAAGGTGGGGACCAGCAGTTGACATAATGGCTATGTCGCTGGACTCCCATGTAGTCAACTGCGGTTTGAGTCCCAGACCTAGCAGCTTAAACTCACGCCGGGCACGTGTACACACATGCCTAAGATCCCAAAAGGTGAATGGAGAAGGGATTGCCATGTGGCCAACCCCCGAGGGGTGATTTCTCGCTTTTTGTCTCTTTGTCTTTCTGGTGAGCACAAGCACCCTCTAGCAAAAACCTCTCAAAAAAAAAATAAAATAAAGTAAAATAAAGATGTATTCTTGGGGCCAGCAGGTGGCATGATGGCTAAGGTGCTGGACCCCCAAACAGTAGACCACAGTTCAAGTCCCAAACCTGGGCTTGCTTTCTCACTTTCTCTCTCTATCTCTGTCTCCTTTTACTAAGCTCATATGCCCTATAGCAAACTTAAGAAAAGTAATAATAAAAAAATATATATTTTTAAAAAGTACATCTGCTAGCAGTCTTCCTAGATGAGTTAATCTTATCTTTAGAATGTGGAAGGGACAGAAAAACGCTCACCAGGCATCACTGCAAACTTTAAAATGGCTTCCAGATACATCTGCCCAGCATAGTGATTTTTTTTAAAAAAAAAACAACAATCTTATCATTATTGTTTTGTGCTTCCTGAAACAATCCACTTGCTGAAAGTGCTATGTGGCACACAGTACACTAAATATTTTTAAATTTTATTATTTATTTCTTCTATGAAAGGGAGACAGAGAGGCAGACGGCACTCCAAACTGAGCCTTGATGCTGCTATCAACCCCAGCTTCATCCAGCCACAGATAACAGGCATGTGGCCAGTATATCAGGGAGGTCTTTAGATGCCAGCTTGGAACCTTTCCATGTGGTTTACAGAGTACAGCGTTGTTACCAAGGCACCGCAATCCAGCTTCTATATAAAAATTGATATCAGAATGCTTTGAGAACCTTTTAAGAATGTCACATCAGGGGGCGGCAGGAGTCATAGTGGCTAGGGTGATGGATTGCCACATGGCTAACTGTTGGTTCAAATCCCAGACCCAATGGCTTGAAAAGAATATCACATCAGGGAGGGCCAGTGGCTCAGCAATAATACATGATGCTCTGCAAGGCAACTCCACATGGGCAGGTTTCCAGCTCAAGTAGAGACCTCCCTGTGTCCACTGAGCATGTGTTTGCCTATGATCCAGGGCTTGCAGAAGGCCAGGGGTAGATCATAGCATCAGGACTTTGTGGGGAATTTTATGTCTCTCTTTCTCACTCATAGAAGAAGTAAGTAAATTTTAAAAAAGAAATACTGTTACCACTGAATTGTGAAAACCAGGCCAGGATGCAATGAACTTGAGTGTTAACAATCTGTCTATGCTTCAACCAAATCATGTGAAACACACAGGCTATCATGTCACATGTCAACAAACTAATAACTAGTGAAAAATATTTCCAAAATAGGAAAAAAGTCTATATTTTTAAGAGGGGACAATGATTTTCAAAAATTCCTTTTAAAAATAAAATATGAAGATCATTAATAAAGAAAAGTGAAAGGGCAAAACACTGGGAACAATCACTCATATCTACTTTTTATTATTTAAGGAAAAGAATAAACCATACTTTACCTGTGTCTTAACTTTCCCCTTGCCTCAAATTCAAAAGGAATCTCTTCACCTGTGAGGACTTCTCGCCATTCACTAACATTGTGAGCATCATCTAGAAATGTTCCATTCCCTTCTGGAACCACCCCTGGACTCCCACTGTGAGACAGCGCAGCCCTAGAACCAAATAAGACAAGATCAGCTAGGCCCTCGTCCCCAGCTCCCTCCCACACGAGCTCTGTGCTGAAGAGCAGAAACCCCTTGGAACTCAACTCGCTGCGCTTAACCTGGCTACAAAGCATGACCTAAAAGGGCAGCGACTAGTCATCTTCATGCTCGATCACAACTTTGTTTGCTATTTTAGAAACAGCTGAAGGCTGTCACCATATAGTCACTTACCTCACGTCACTAGAGTATGTGTATTTAAAATAGTATAGAAGTGAATAGCTAAAATGTAACATGCCCAAACTGTTAAACCGAAGAATTTATCTTATAGAGCTCTATGATAGCATAGAGGTAGAGAAAATGTGGTTTCAAGTCAGTGGGCTATTGCTCACGTCACGTACTTTGTTACCTAAGCTAGAAAGACCACCACCTACAGTCACACTGAGTGACAATGCCGTGGTTGGCAATGGACCCAGAGGACAGAGGTCCTTGCTGAAAACCTCCTAGCACCTAGTGACATCTGTGTTGAAAATGTAAATAGTCACGCGCTACCGGATGACATTCGGTCAGTGATAGGCCGGATGATGACAGTGGTACCACAGGAGCACAGAGCGGCTATACTGCATTGCCTAGGGGTATAGTAGGCTATACCTAGGTTAATGTGAGTTCACTCTTTAATGTTTACAAAATAAAATCACCTACAGACACAATCCTCAGAAAAGATCCCTGTTTTAATGACACTGTAACTGGAATGTTGAGCCAAGTTATAAACAGGCAGGGAGTTGTCAGGAAAAGTGTTCCTGGACTAGGTAAACTCTCCAACTCCACCCCATTCCATCTGGGTTAAAGTGTGTTTTAGATAAGGAAGATCATTGTTCAGAGAGTACAGGAGAATGAGGAATCTGTCCAAAGCAGTTTGAAAGAAAAATGGAAAACATTTAGTTTCATAACCATACACAGCTTATTTTAAAAGAGAAGGGGATCGAGGGAACCAGCAGTCAGCGTAATGGCTATGTCGCTGGACTCCCACGTAGTCGACTGCGGTTCATGTCCCAGACCTGGTGGCTTAAAACTCACGCCGGGCGCGTGTGCGTCCATACCCAAGATCCTGAGAGGAGAATGGAGGAGAAGGAATTGCGGCGTGACCATCCTCCCTGGGGGGTGATTTCTCGCTTTCTGTCTATGTCTGTCTGTCTGGCGAGCGCATGCGCCCTACAGCAAAAACCTCTCAAAAAAAAAAAAAAAAGGGGGGGGTTGGGGGG